GAGGGCTTTCATCTCAACTATTCATATGCAGTTTGGAATCCCGACTGAAGAGATCTGTTGTGAAGGGTTAACTCTAAGTTCAACAACTGAGTGTAAACGAGGCAAACACTTCCGTCTTTCTGTCCCTGCTTATATTCCCTCAGTAGTGTTCTTTTTTCTCTCTCCAGTACAGGAGGACATGCGTTACCTCGCTCTGCATCCAGACTGCTGATTGGTTAAGTTTCTGTTCCACAGCTCCTCTAACCGGCACCCTCCTTTTTTAGCTACAAAATTGTAATTATAGGCGGACTTCGAAGTTGGAGAAAAAACAGTCGAACCACTAAAATTGCACCGGACTGACCTCCTTTTGAAAGTGCAACTGCTTGCCCAAATTTCCACTACACCGGAAGTTAGACTGTCAGCAGGCAAACTTCACAGCCTATTGGAATTATTTAGTTAAAACTGTCCCTACTCCATTTGGTGAGAGGGGACGGAAAAATTGGTAGGGAAATTATGTTTTTAGATAGATTGCAAGAGTTCAATGTCGGAAGTTCTTCGTAGTGAGGTCGCTCTACGGAACCCAAAAGAAAAAAAGATGATCATGCGTCGCTCACTCTCCTTCTTTTCCACTAGTTCATGAATAACGAGTCCTGTGATTCCATTAACCGGACAGTTTTGGTGCATTGATGTTTCAACACGCAAACTTAAATGGTCCAAATCAACCCTATTAAGCGGGAACTAGGTGCTTTTGCAGAATGTAACTAACTAGTTCCTATTTGAATTCGAAGAACGCTTATTGCATAAAGAGAAGAATAAATGTGAGATATTCAACTTGCCGTCGACCAATTCAGGAAGGTATGTGAGTGGACTAGGCCGAAAGTCTGGATAGGTTGTACATCCCGCTTCAGTGCCCTTTGTGGAGTTCGTGTTTTCGGTCGCGCAGCTGGAACCGACAGCGCCAGCACGTGCCGTACGTTTATGGGAGAAGTCCCGAAGCAGGATAAAAGCCAGGAGACCGAGGACGCCGATAAACATTATAAAAATGACCACCGCGATGACAAATAGGTGTTTTGCTTTCGTATGACTGCCTGGTGTCGTTTCTGAAATTTCCTTCGAGGAGGAAGACGAGGAGGACGAGGAGAAGGAGGATGCATCTGCCAGTTTGGAGGATGTTCCCGCTTTGTCGGGGAGCTCACTTGCTAAACCGTCCTCGCTTGGGTGATATTTGATAGGTTGTTGTTGATAACGTTGCGACAACAGCGACCCCGTTGCGCCGATCTGGACTTTCTCAGAGTCTAAACGATGTGATCCGAGTATGGCCTCCGCGGCAGATCGTTTAATACTGCCGTCATCCTTGCCAGTCTCCGTTTTCTCGCTGCCACGAATAATAACCCTTAAACGTGCTGTCTTTGTGAATTGTCGTTGGCCAGAGTCACTGACAATGACGTAAAGTTGGTGTTCTATGGGAAATTTAATCTGGCGGCTGAGGGCTTCCACCTGGCTGGCATCTAGCTCACTTGAGGTGGTCGAAGATGTAGAGGAGATGAGGTGGACAAGAGGTTTCGTCAGCACAATCTGCACACAGGTTGCATCTCCTTCTGCCTGCTTTACGGCCTCGGTGACGTTAAAAAAGGGTTTCAGGTATTTGGCACAACGAAGAGTAAAGTTAAGCAGAGAGTTATTTCCGATGTCTGGGTCACGAGCACAGGCTCGGTAGATGGTACTGTTAACGGCGGTATGTAGAGTCACATTGGCCACAGCCACGACGGAGAGGTGATCGCCTGGCGTGGAGGGTTCCGTAAAGATGGGCGCGTTGTCATTGATATCCAGGACACGCACCTTAACTGTAATTTCCGCAGAGAGACGATGCCGTGGTGGAGCACTGTCCGTAGCCACTACTACCAATTCGTACTCTTCGGTGGCCTCTCGATCCAAAACCCCATTCACTAAGAGTTGACCCTTTCGGGTAATACGAAAGATGGCACGCCCCCCAGCGCCAACTGATGGTTGAGATGACTTCAGGCTAAATACAAGGGAACTATTTTCTCCCTCGTCTGCATCGGTGGCATTTATTTGGCCTAGGAAGTTCTTTAATACCTGCTCGTTCTCAAAGGTCTCTGAAACCTCAAAAACAATGGCTCCGGAGACATTGTAATTATTAACAAAGACCGGTGGCGAATCATTCACATCCAGAACAAGGAGAGTAACTCTCTGCGAATTGCTCAAGGGTGGAATACCGGCATCTACGGCAGTGAGCATGGCGCAGTAAGTTGACTGTTGTTCACGGTCCAAGGGTTGTGTTGTGTAGACTTTTCCAGTCCTAGCCTCAATGGTGAATGGTAGGGTGGCATTTTCGTCGGGGCAGGCGGTCAGAGAATAGCTGACTGCTGCATTCATACCGAAGTCTGCATCTGTAGCGCGGATTACACCAGCAAAGGTTCCCTGCGGTTCATTTTCAGGCACTGCGAAATATGCATTCCGTACATGTTGACTATGCACCATTAAGGAAGAAGGGGGCTTCTGAAATTCTGGTGCGTGGTCATTAATGTCAAGTATACCGATTTCCACCAGACTGCGTGCAACGTTTATTTCTGGGTAGCCACCATCCGTGCAGACAATGGTCACCTGTATCCGCGGAGTCGTCTCACGGTCTATTTTAACACCTCTGCGCTTTGAAAGCAGGTACACCTTGGGCACCTTATAGCCACTGCCCGGGGGCAGCCGAGCCCCATTGAGCGGAACCAACCTGAAGGGATTGACGCTAATGACACTGTTCCACTCCACATCGCAGTTGATGTTGGCATTCTGTTCAGAGTCCGCATCCGACACCGTAACTGTGGCTAACTTAACTTCCGCCATCTCCTCCTCATGGAACCAAATGTTCACCTGTCTTGGTATTTGCAACGAGTTTGACAGCAAAGCTTGACCTACGTTCTCGTTGGCGACTTCGATTGGTGCAGGGCTGAGCGACTGAATACTGATCTGGGGCACATTATCGTTGCAGTCCTCTATCGAAACCTCCACCTCGGTAAAGTTAGAAAGTCCTCCGCCATCAACAGCTTCCACAGGGATGTTGATACGTGGGACCGTCTCGTAGTCCAGGTGCCCAATGAGGAACAATTTATCCCCGTGAATGATACTCTTGTAGGCTGTTGAAGCAGCCACACTGACAGCGTTCCCCTTGTTAGATGACTTTCGCGTGGTCTGTTCAGGAGTGCGGTAGCGCACCTGTCCGTAGACATCGCTGTCGGCGTCCACAGCTAGCAGCTGTGTGACAAAACGCAGTGGCGCCTCATATTCGTAGCCCTGGCTCCTTGCATAATTGCGCGCCTCCAGATCGGCCTTCCAGAAGGCTGGTGGAGTTTGATGGCGTTCCTCGCCACACTCTGTGAGGCTAACTCGGTATGGTAGTCCGACCCAAGCTGGCGCATTGTCGTTTGCATCCTGGACCTCAATTATGATCAGGAGGGAACCCTCTTGCCCACCCCCGTCAAAGGCCGTGAGGCAGTAATATAAGGTTCGAAGCCGCTCGTAGTCCAGTGCACTCACCTGCAAGATCCTTGGCACTTTGTTAGCTCTCTCCCCATCCACCTCCTCGTTCTCGTCGGACATGAGAGCAAATACAGGCGACTCGTTATCTGGCGTGTAAACCG